GGTTTTATATTTATTAATCGATTTTTTAAAAATTTTGGCCAACTAATCGATTGTATCTTTTGGTTTTTAATTTGAAACACTAATTTTAGAACTATTTACTGAAACTATTGAAAAGCTGGAGAGAAGTTAATATTCAACAATAAGTTATGTATACTTTGCGATTCAAAAAATTAAGTCAAGATTAAGTTGTTTTTTTGACTCTATCAATGAAAATAATGATAGTCAAGATGAATTAGAGGATGCATTTGATGATCTACAATTTGAAGACAAGGAGAAAGATAATGAACCAAAAGCAAAGCAAAGAATCAAAATTAATAATCCAGTAAATACGATTGGATTAATTGATGCAATTAAAAGTAAACTTTATTATACAATAAATGTCTATTATGAAGATTTAGAGCTTGATGGTCTTGTTGCTTCACTTTTGGATCCATATTGGAAAAATCTATCATTTATAACTAAATCAAAAAAAATTGAAACAATTAATGAATTACGTTGCTATATAAAGAAGAAAATTCCAAATACCATATAACAAGCTTATCTGTAAGAAAGGAAAGTGAGCCCTTACAAAAAAGGTTAAAAACAAAATTATATGGTAAAAGCTTGTTTGGTGAAAGTTCATTTGATTCTTGTAGTTCTGGTAATGGTGATGAAATTGATAGATATTTGGCATTACAAGAAATTTTTAAAGATCAAAATGCTCAAACTTGGTTGAAAGATAATAAAAAATTTTTTTGTTCTCTTTCAACTAGCGAGAAAGTATCTTGCTGTGCAAGCAACGTCAGCTGCAAGTGAAAGGCTTTTTAGTGATGCGGGCAATATTATGACAGTTAAAAGAACCCGTTTGAAACCGGAAGTGTTTGAAAATTTAATTTTTTTTTAAAAAAAATAGCCTGTTAGTAGATGGAATGTTTGATTACAATAATGATAGTTATGAATAATTGTTTGAATTTTGATTTTTTTTTTTTTTTTAAATTCCAACTTGGAATTTTTTTTTTGAATATTCAGTTTTGCATCAAAATAGATTAAGTAAAATAGAATATTTATTGTAAGTGAGTATTAAAAAAATATATATAAGATTATATATTTCAATAAATATATATAATACAGAAAGCGATATGTTGTAGCAGTCAAAGTTCTCTTTCCTGATGTGTTACCATCCAGTATAGTACAATGTTCGATTTATTTTATTTTTATTTTGTCATTATTTTTATTTTTGTAAAAATAAAACAATCATTAAAACCAGAATGAAAGGAATTATTGGGTAAGTAGAAAAAAAGAATAGTATTGATAAGAAAAAAAGTATTGATATTTTAATTTATAAAAATCATATATATAAATAGTGGAAATTACCTTGAATAAAAAGTAACTTTCAGAGTTACAAGCAACCTTCAAAATAAGAGTGTTTCTATCCCATTATACTATTTTCTTGAAAATTGGTTGTCGTTTAGTATTTTATTGTCTTTGTGACTATCATCTATTGTATTGTCAAATTTAGTAAAAAAAAAAAACTGTATTAGTAATACAAGTTCTTATATATTAAATTCATCTTTGATTAAGTTTGTGATCAATATCATTGTTCTTGAGTCATAATCCTGCGATACCATGATCTTGTATGATATTCCGATTGGTCAATTTCGATCACAAAACCCAGCTGCAGTACCTACAAAATAAAGAATTTAGAATATTAACAAAGGTGTTCAAAAAAGTAAAGTACCTGTTAAAGAAATAAGAAAGTACTTATCTAAGTTCAACACTATTTCTGCTTAATAATTAACCCTAATTACTTGGACCAAGTCATTTCACACCTTGATTGTTGCCTTATAAATATTAGAGTTTAGTTAAAGTAGTTTTAGTATACTAGTTAAAGTATTTTAATTAGTAGTAGTATTTTTGAGTAGTGAGTTATTATATATCAACCCAATAACTTTTCTCACGCAGCTCATATTATTTACACTTTTCCAAAGTTGATTATAGTTATTGTTATGTTTGATCTTAATTTTTTTTTGTTTGTACTCCAGATTTAATGTATGCTAATGCTAACCTGTTATTTAATGCATATACTGATAAAGAAAATCAGTATAAATAAGTATACATTGTGGTTTATTTATTACATATTCTGATTAATGAATAGATAGATAATTCTTTGCATGGTAAGTTTCTGATTTACTTCCTCATGCTATAATTTGAAATTAAATATTAATATATATATTCACTAATCAAAAAATTTAAAATAAACTCTTCAAACCTGGTTAAGCATATTTTCAAGAGGATGAATAAGTAAAACTTTAGCTATTGAGAACTCATATCTATACTGATAATATATAGAAACATCTTCAGAGTTCAAAGTATTTGATGAGAGAACAATATAGAGAATGAAATTTTCTGTAAATACAATGTAGTTAGTTTCGTTTAAAAATAAACTATAGATAAATTCAGGCCCAGAATAAAACCTTCATTCGATTAATTGAAATAAGATTTTACATGGATTAGTTTTTCATGATGATATATAAAATTAAGGAGAATTTACAAATAAGGGCTCAGAAAATAAAAATAATTTCAGATACGAGCCCAAATTAAAAATAATTACATATAAGGGTCTAATTTTTTATAAAATATTATATATAAGGGCCCAAATCTATTAATGGCAGAAAAAACATGATTATGGAGTACAAAGTACTATGCTTATAACTATTGCAAAATCACGATAATAGGATTATCAATTATTTATCTATACTGATTATTAGATAAAAGAGTAAATAAAGCTCTGGTTATAATTGTTTTCATTTAAATATTGTATAAAAAATAGCATTAAACTAGCACAATTATTTATAAGGCGAAGTTTCAGCAGAGTAGCTCTCTAGATCTGAACAAACATCTTCTATATTAGTAAATATTATGCTAATTCATTTCTTGACATCATAGTGGTTTGTTATAACAATAAACAATTTATACAAAGAAAATAAAATTAATTAAATTTAATAAAATTTCTCATTGATAATTACTAATTTACAATCAATCGTTACATTTTTTTATGCACTTAATAACTATATTTATGATGTTTATATTTCTTATGCTAATAATGATCATGAACTAGTTCACAGTCTTTAAAATCGATTGTGAACTAGTTTACAGTCCTTAAAATCAATCGTGAACTAGTTCACAATTGATTTTAAAGACCGTGAACTAGTTCACGATCAACTATAAGGACTGTGAACTAGTTCATGATCGATTTTAAGGACCGTAAACTAGTTCATAATCAACTATAAGAACCGTGAACTAGTTCATAATCGATTTTAAAGATCAAAATAATGATCAAAATAATGTCGCAGTTATTTTGGGCCCTTATATATAATATTTTTTAAAAATTAAGCCCTTAAATGTAATTATTTTTAATTTGGGCCCATATTTATAATTATTTTCACTTTCAGAGCCCTTATTTATAAATTTCCCAATTTTTTCTGTCAGTGTATACATAGTATTCAACATGTGACCAAATGAATCATCTGATCTCACAATAATGTACGCTCTGTTACTTCATTGACAAGCTTCCAGTTATTTACAATTTATTTATAAAAAAATTATTTTGATATAATAAATATCTTAATAAAGCAAAATGTTTTGAAGTATAATGAAACTTTGTATAATTTAATTGTAGTATCTTTTTTTTTAATTGTTTATCTTAAATTTGTATGTGATGTTATTATACAAGCTGCTTTAGGTAAGTGATTTAAAATTGCATATGATATTACATTGTATTTGGCTTTTTGTAACTTAATGCTTCGCGTCTATTCTAGAATACTTTATTGAAAATTTAAAAGTCAAGACATTTTTTTTATAGTTTTATTTTATGCAAGACCAATTAATTTTAGGGGAATTTATAAATAAGGGCCCTGAAAGTAAAATAATTACAAATACGGGCCCAAATTAAAAATAATTACATCTAAGGGTTTAATTTTTAAAAAATATTACATATAAGGGCCCAAAATAACTGCGACATTATTTTGATCGTTATTTTGATCTTTAAAATCGATCGTGAACTAGTTTACGGTCCTTAAAATTAATCGTGAACTAGTTTACGGTCCTTAAAATCAATCGTAAACTAGTTCAAGGTCCTTATAGTTGATTGTAAACTAGTTCACAGTCTTTAAAATCGATCATGAACTAGTTTACAATTGATTTTAGGGACCATGAACTAGTTCACGATCAACTACAGTCGTCCTCTCATACAGTCACCTCCTATATAATCACAAACTCTATATAATCACATAATTTTATACGGGCATTTTTTTTAATATTAAA